TTCAATTCCTCTCTCTCCATCCACCCTCCGCCCAAGCTTTCGACACGTGGTCCACATGCATCAACTGTGGGCTTGTTGGGCCTTTCTTGGCAATAGTCGCCCTCCACAGGCTGAGTACCCATAATAAGGTCTCAGCCCAAAAGTTTTTGGGTCCCAGCAACATAGTAAAATATTTCGGCTTTCTAATTGGGGACCGTCTTCGGGGTAAAAATTAACTATTATCATTTTCTTTTTCCCCCCGCATAATCCAATATTTGAGACAGTTTAGGCCTACGTACCGACTAGCTAGTCCTCGTTACTCTATCAACGTAGATACTTATTATAAGCCTTGTCGACACCTTAGGTTGCACATGAACACCAACGCAAACCATTTTAGGTGGTTGTCGTTAATTTAGATACTCTCATTTGTCATTTCCGCATTCATTTCTCATTTTCATGTTCGCATTCATTTCTCAAACGCTTTCTTACCGATTAATTGAATGTACACAGTCTCCTACCGCGCGTAATAAGTGATAAATCTGAAATCCTCAGTACGTGTTCAAGTTAGCAAGCGTCCTACGATTGCTTAATAATGCATTTAGTCAGGAATTATGTAAGTACAAGGAAGAATAATCAACATTTGTTTTTTATTCTGATTTGTAACCAAGCATCCTGCGCGTGTTCTAGGCCCGACTCATAACTATAGCATGCAGCAGCCGATCCTGGATACAGAACTGTAGAAAGTGTGTACGAAATAGTAAATGGAGTCTAACATGCATTCAAGATGTTCATGAGATCTATAACCAACAATTTATGTTCAACTTTGATTGTAATTCTAACCAAATGGCAAATAATTACACGGAGTTTAAAATTCATGATTTCATAAGCTATAATCTACAATTTTTCTCAATTTTCGCTTATTTTGCCCTAATAGCAAATAATTTTACAGGGTTCAAAATTTCACAACTTTAAATTTATAATCCACAATTTATTCCATTTTTTGCTTATTTTGACCCAATGGCAAATAATTGAATGAAGTTCAAATTTCACGATTTCATGAGTTGTAACCCACAACTTTAGCTCATTTTCGCTCGATTCGAAAGAAATAGAAAATAATTAAATGAAGTTAAAAATTCACGACTTTCTTGAGTCATGACCCATGATTTTTTGCTTATATTTAAAAAAAATCAACCTAATGTATATGGAGCTCATAATTCACGAATTCATGAGCAATACTGTACATTTTTTGTCCATTTTTGCTCATTTTTTGACCCAATGGAAAATATGCCAATTCAAAATTCGCGATTTCATAAGACATAACTGACGATATTTGTCCATTTTTGCTTGTTTCAACTCAATGGTAAATAATTTGTGATTTCATGAGCTATAATTATATGGAGTTAAAAACTTAAATTCTCATGAACTATAACCCAAGATTTTTGCTCATTTTTGTTCATTTCAACTCAATACGAAATAATAAAATAGAGCTTAAAATTCACGATTTTCATGATTTATAATCCATATTTTTTGTTCAATTTTGATTCTTTTAACCAAACGAGAAATAATTAAACATGGTTCAAAATTCACGATTTTGAGCTATAATTCATGTTTTTATCCATATTTGCTTATTTCAACTCAATAGCAAATAATTTTGCTGCATTCAAAATTCATGACTTCATGAGCTATAAATGATAATTTTTGTCTATTTTCGATCGTTTATACCCGTGGAAAATAATTTTGTGGGGGACTAAAATACACGATTTTATAAGCTATAATTCACAAATCTTACCCATTTTTGCGCGTTTGACCTGATTGCCAATAATTAAACAAAGTTTAAAATTCGTGATTTTATGAGATATAACCCATAGTTTTAGTCCTTTTCGCTCAATTTGACCAAATAGGAAATATATGGAATTAAAAATTTATGATTCATGAGTTATAATCCACAATCTTATTTCAATTTTTATTATTTTAACCTAATGGCAAATAATTATGTGAAGTTCAAAATTCATGTTTTCATGAACTAATTCATGATATTGTCCAATTTTCCGTCCTTTCGACCCAATGGCAAATAAATATGCGAAGTTCGAATTTACAATTTCATAAGCTATACTATGATTTTTGTTGATTTTTGCTTGTCTTGAACCAATGGAAAATAATTTTGCCGAGTTCAAAATTCACGATTTCATGAGTTTTTGTCCATTTTCGCTAACAATTCACGATTTCATGAGTTATATCTATATGGAGTTCAAATTTCACGTTTTCATAAATTATAACCCATAATTTTTGCTCATTTTATTCATTTCGACCTAATGGAAAATAATAAAACTAAACATAAAATTCACGATTTTCATGAGCTATAACCCTTGGTTTTTGTTTAATTTTGATTGTTTTCACCGAATGGCAAATAATTATGCGAAATTCAAGATTCATAATTTCATAAGCTATAATTCACAATTTTTATCCATTTTTTCTTATTTTTTATCTCATGGCAAATAATTAAACGGAGTTTAAAATTCACAATTTCATGAACCATAACCCCCAATTTTAACCTTTAATCCATTTTTGCTCCGATTCAACCAAATGAGAAATAATTAAACAAAGTAAAAATTTCATGATTTTTATGAGGTATAACTCACTATTTTTATTCAATAATTTATTATTTCAACCTAATGGAAAATAATTATGCGGTGTTCAAATTCATGTTTTCATGTGGCTAATTCAAGAATTTTGTCCATTTTCGCTCGTTTCAACCTAGCAGCAAATAATTTTGCTGGGTTTAACATTCATGATTTCATGAGCTATCCCCGACTTATTCGTTTTTGCTTGTTTTGACCCAATGGCAAATAATTAAACAGAACTTAAAAATTCACAATTTTATAAGTTATAACCTACAATTTTAGTCATTTTCTCTCAATTCGACCAAAGAGGAAGTAAATAAATGAAGTTTAAAATTTACAATTTTCATGAGTTATAATCCACGATCTTTGTTCAATTTTGTCTTGTTTTGACTTAATGTCAAAAATCATGTGAAATACAATTCATGATTTTATAAGCTATAATCCACGATTTTTGTTCATTTCATTCGTTTCAACCAAATGGAAAATAACTATGCGGACTTAAAATTAACGTTTTCATAAGCTATTTTTGTCTGTTTTTATTTAAACGGCCAAAAATTAACAAAAATCATAGGTTATATCCCACGAAAATCTTGATTTTGATGTACTAGCAACTCACTTACATTCATTCAAAATGGGGGGAAAGACAAAAATCGTGAGTCATATTCCGAGAAAATCGCAAATTTGAACAAAAGTGAAAAAATATTGGATTTAACCCACAAAAATCACGAATTTTAATATAAACACAATTAATTAACATTCTTTTAAAAGGAACAAATTTGACAAAAATTATGGGTTATAGCCCATGAAAATCGAAAAATTTTATTTACAGACAACTAATTTACAACAATTCAAAACAAAAAAAATTTACAGCCCATGAAAATATAGAATTAGGCACACAATTAATTTATATATTTATATTCATTCCAAAAGAACAAAAATTTACAAATATTGTAGGTTATGTAGCCCACAAAAATCACAATTTATATACGCACAATTAATTTATGTTTATTTCAAAGAAACAAAAAACAAAAAAAATTTGTACGTAACCATGAAATATGTTAAATTTTATGTGCTCACAACTAATTTGCATTTGTTCAAAATAAATAAAATTAAAAAAATCTGGGATTACAGCCCGCAAAAATTGCTAATCTTTATGTGCACACAATTAACTTAGATATACACACAATTAATTTATAGTAATTCAAAATTAATAAATTTTTACAAAATTGTGGGTTATAACCCATGAAAATTAAGACACTTGACATATATACAATTAATTTAAATTCGTTAGAAATAAAAAAACTTGATAAAAATGTGGGCTATAGCCTACAAAAACCAATGATTTTTATGTACGCAACAAATAATTTACGTTTCTTTGAAAATAAAAAGAGGGGGCAAAAATCATGGTTATAAGCCACCAAATAATCGCAAATTTTTACATACAAACATATGATTTATATTCATTCAGATCGAATGAGAATTAATCAAAATTGTGGGGTTATAGCCTACAAGAATCACGATTTTTATGTACCCACAATGAATTTATATTCGTTGGAAATGAATAAAATTTGATAAAAATCACGTGTTACACAAAATTGCGAGTTACAGTCCATGAAAATCTACAATTTTTATTTGCACCATTAATTTACATTAGAAAATGCGCATTTTGGCCTGCAAAAATTACGAATATTAATGTATGCAATTAATATACATTCAAGAGAAAGAACAAAAATTGATAAAAATTGTGTGTTATAGCCCACGGAAATCACAATGTTTTATTTATGCACAACTATTGTACGTTTGTCCAAAACGAATAAAAATTAATAAAAATCGTGGATTACAGCCCACAAATATCAAGAATTTTTATATATAGACATTTTGATTTACTGTGATTCAAAATGAATAAAATTTTATAAAATTATGGGTCATAGTCCAGAAATTGTTATGTGCACCACATTCATTTATATTTGCTTGAAAGGAACAAAATTCACAGAAAACATGCATTATAACCCGCAAAAATTATGAATATTAATGTTTAAATTTAATCTATATTTGGTAGAAAGAATAAAAATTGACAATAATTGTGGTTATAGTCCACGAAAATCGTAAATTTTTATGTACGCACAACTTATATAAATTATAGCCCATGAAAATCACAAATTTAGATATACACAACTAATTTAAAATTATTTGACATTTACAAATATTAACATTAATCATGGGTTATAACCCATAAAAATCGAGAATTTTAAATTATGCATAATTATTGTCATCATGTCATAACGAATGAAAATGGACAAAAAACATTAGCTATAACGCACCAAATCGCGAGTTTAAAATACACATGCCTAATTGTCTTTGGTTCGACATGAACAAAAATAGACAATTTCATGGATTACGGCCTATGGTGAATTTTGAAGTACACATAATCTGTTGTTCTTATATTGAAATGAACGAAAATGTACAAAAATTGTGGGTTATAGTCTATAAAAATTGCAAATTGTAATGTTCTTATACTTAATACTTACCGGGTCGAAATGAAAAAAATGGACGAAAAAAAAAAGCTTGTACTTAATTGTTATTGGGGCGAAAAAGAATGAAAATTGAAGGAAAAAATAGTTGTGTAGCTTATAATAAGTAGGTGTTAATAGAAGAACAGTTGAGAAGACATATGATACGTATATTCACATACACAGGAAAACCCAATCCACTTTCCTTCTGTTAAGTTTGGGGGAAAAAACAAAAGCGCTAGCATGCCCGAACAGTGAACTCCTGCACTTAGTCACGGGTCTTAAATATATGACGTTAGTATTTCATTTCTGCTATAATTTAGGATAACAAATAGGGTAGGAAATATTACAGCTCGATAAATCTAAAAGGCAAAAGTTAATAAACAATTGAACAACAAACTGGTTACTGAAATAATACAATCAGCTCACACACAAATGCAGACAAACTTAACAAAAGATGACATTACATACCGTGTTTGATCCTGTTGTTGGTCGCCTTGTGCTTATACAAAATCTTCAGCTTCCTTAAGCTTAATCCATTCAACTTTGCCTCCTCTGGATTCTGCTTGTCTTCATTATGCACCTTCTCATCTTTTCTGCATGCTCCTTCTATGTCCATTTGGATCACCTGTTTATTTTCCTTATAAAGCAACCTTAACTTTCTTAGGCTCAGACCACTGAGATCTCTCTTCCTCTCACTTTGATTCTCTGTTTTGATGTCAATCTTTGTTCCTCCACCGCTCTTTGGCTCGTCTTTCTCTTTCTCCATGTTAGCGCCTTCCCCGTTGTTGCTATAGACGCCAGCAAGCTCCCTTTTCTGTCCTTCATTTGCCTCCGGCGTAAGACTTCCAACGCTGTCATCAGATTCAAGAGGTTTGACAGTTGGGTCACCAATCTTCAGCAACGAGGTCTGCGGATTGCTTGCAAGATCCCCAGTACTGAATGGCATATTTGAACTTCCATTCTCTTGGTCCAGGCCAGCAGTGAATCCCCCCTGGTTGCTATGGACACCAACAAACTCCCTTTTCTCATCTTCAATGTTCTCCAATACCGGGCAATAATCCAACGCAAGACTTCCAACACTACCATCAGGTTCACTAGCTTTCACGATTGGATCAGAATTCTTTAGCAACAGTGTTTTCGGGCTGCCGATGTGATCCTCAATAATTGATGGCACACTTGAACTTTCACTGTCTCTGCCCATGTCCACTCCTCCTTCCCCGTGATTATTATGACTACTAACAAGCTTCCTTTTCTCATCTTCACTGCCTTTCTGTGCTGGACCGCAGTTCAACGCGATAATCGTAATTCTGTCATCGATTTCATAAGATTTCTCAAGTTGTTCACCAATCTCTAGTAAGGAGGTTCGTTGAATAGGATCAACAATAATGGAACGCATATTAGAGGTTTCATTCTCTTTGTCCATGTTACTGCCTTCACCGTGGCTACCATGAATATTACCAAGCTCCCTCCTCTCACCTTCACCATGCTCCAAAACTGGACCACGGTTCAATGAAAGACTCCCAATGCTATCATCAGATGTATGAGATTTCACAATTCCATCGACATTCTTTAGCGAAGGATTTTGTCGGGTGTCATCATGATCCCCAGTATCGGACGGCACATTTGCACTCTCGTTGGCTTTGACAGGGTCAATACCTCCCCCATGGTTACCGTGACTACTAACAAACACCTTTTTCTCACCTTCACCACCCTCCAATGATGGAGCGGGGGATAACGCAAGACTTCCTCTGGTATTATTGGATCCACAAGATTTCACAGTCGGAGCAACGACCTCTAGCACATTTGAATTTCCATTCTCCTCGTCCACGTTAGTGACTTGCCCATGGCCACTGTGAATACCAACAAACTCCCTTTTACCACATTCACAGTCTTCCAGCACTAGACCGCGGTTCAATGCAACTTCTGCAATTTTAACATCGGTTTCATGGTATTCCACAAGTGGGTCACCCATCTCTAGCAATGAAGTCTCTTGATTTCCACTAAGATCCCCAACATTTGGTAGCATGTTTAAACTTTCTGGGCATGGTTTTGGGGAACAAGTGGCTAGTTGAAGATTTCCTGAAGAGTGAATACACTCTTTGTCAAGGAGTTGGCTAGTAGGAAGAGAGCATGAACAGGTGGTTTCTTGATGCTTCTTGACAAGATCGAGGCCCCGGTTACAAACTTTCGCATCTGCGTCGGCTTCCTTTTCGTATGTCAGTCTTGGCATTTGATCTCCAGGTGCTGAAATCTCTAGTGAGCAATTATCAAGATCTTGGATGTCGACCTGAACCCCGATACTTCTCCTCCTCTCGTCTCCTACTTGAATACATTCCGCGACTCCTCCAACAGCTAATTCAGCAGATTCGGATGCTTCAGCATTTCGTCGAACAGTTGAGCTGCAACCCAGTACTGGGCTCCGCGAGCTTACCCCATCAACCGGCTCTACAGAACATTGTGATATTTCCCTGCAGTAGGTCTTCAAACACGCTGAACTCTCGGTGCAAGGCACCAAAGTGCTTAAAGGTAGCATCTTTCTCATCGATCCAACTTCCTCATCATCATCATTATCCTCAACCTTTCTGCACGTTAATCTTGTTGGCCACAGAGTTCTGCTTCTCTTTGGCGTTGGGCTATCGGGTGATTCCTGTTTAGCTCTCCTCTTCTTGTTCTGCTTCTCATTCTCCGACCAGACGAATGGCGAGTTCTTTCGACAGCTACGAGCTGGGTTCGGTGGCCTGGTCGGCGTCGGTGACGGTGCTTTCGTGGGGGTTTCAATTTCTTCTAGGATTTGATCCAGACCTTCAACCTGATTAAAATGTTTTTGATTTTAGTGAAAATAGATGATGATAATAATAATAAGATGACGACGACGACGACGAAGAGGAGGAGGAGGAGGAGGAGGAAGAAGAAGAAGAGGGCCCATTATAACTGATTGGAGAGAGGAGAGGGCGTCGGCCATGGCGATGTTGGTCATATTAGCTGGAATTTTGTTCCTCTTGCATAGGGCTTGAAGCGCTCTCCTCGGCAAACTGTGGAAGTCCATGGCGATTGATAACTGATCAGCAAGAGAGAAGGGGAGGCGGGTTTCGGATTTCCAAGCTTCAGAAACAAACGGATGCTTTTACGATTTCTCCGAAACCCCATAGCTCATTTGGGCCCACCCATTGGTCCCAGTCTTGCTTTTAGGCCGAGCATTTGAGGATGGAGCCTAATACGGTAACATAAAAATAAAAATAAGACCCCGTTCACTTTTAATTATAAAAATCTACCCATTTTAACTTAATTGTGATACTAATTAGTTGATGTTGTCAACCCTAACTAATTAGTAGCTTAATTATAAGCAGGATCAAAGAGTGGGGAAGGTTTGAGGTTGCTAATTAGGCTACTAATTAGTCGAGATTAACAACCCGACTAATTAATACCTTAATTAACTCAAAGTAGATCGATTTCTATAATTAAAAGTGAATGTGATCGATTTCTTTAAAAAAAAATCCTATTGAGACGCTTTTGAAAATTTCTTCTAAAAATAAAGGATACAATAAAATATGAATTGGTAATTTTCAACAAAATTCTCTCTATGACGGATGAGATACATGATGGACTACAAGAATCCGTACCTAGCTATAAAATTCCAAAAATAATACACGAGGGACTTTTTTATATGTGATACAAAACCGCATAGACATAATATATTAACAAGTTATATTCACTTGAATTAAACAGAGCAGAAAACATTAAAACTGCTGAAATAACCGATTTTCTTTTATTTGTTTATTTATTTATTACTATCAATCTGAACATTAAGAAAATAAATTATTCTTTATACAAGAATTTTAATATGAAGAACGGTTACACAAAATCATCCTCACATTAACAGACATCTAAAAACGTTAACCCCTACAGACCTTATGCGGCTTGACATCAAAAACACCACAAGAAACCTGAAAGTCTTTTCATGAAGCATGAAGGTTCTGAATCTCAACTTTCAAATCTTGCACTTTGCGCTCCATCTTTGCTAAGTTGTCTTGAATCTTCACCAATCTGTCGATTTTAAGCTGAGCTGCGTCTTGATAAGGTTTGCTGAAGGCTTCAACAAAGCAATCTAGTTTCTCGGAGGCTAGCTTGAGATCCTTTTCCATGGCTTCTTCGATTTCCAGTGCCAAACCATCTGCAACTTTTCTCACCTTCTCTATTGCTTCCTTCCGACGTCCTGGGAAGTTTGATATTGCAAACAACCTAGCATTTGACAGAATAACAAATTACTTGCCTAATAGCGTCTTAGTTCACTTCTCAGATTCACAAAATATTGAAATCCATGACGCAGAAAAGGAAGGGGCGCATTCTCAAGAGTTACTTCACGTTGATGCCAGTGGTTTGATTGAGATACACATAAGGAATAAGGAGCTAATTAAAATATGTGATTATGTCGACGAAAAGCAACAATTTATATAAAGAAAGAAGTTTCCTTGAGGAAGCTATTTGGTAACTCAAGATCACAAGAACAAGAAAACTAGTTTGAAAGAAATAAAATAGTGATGTGACCACATGAACAATCAAAGAAGGAAAGATGAAACCCCAAAGAGATGGCAAAGCCCGAGCATCCAAACACATATTTTCACCAAATCAAAAACAACATCCTATCTCCATAACTAAAAGGATGATGCATTCTTATTTTGCAGCCACCTAAGCTATATTTATGTCACTGCCATATAAAAATGATAATAGACGAGAACACAGCCAGTGTCTCTGGTCCTATTATGGTTGTGATGATGCGTAACAAAAAAATTCAAAATGTAAATTGTGATATATGGACGTCATCCCAAAATCAAAATTCCTCAGCTTAGACATAAATTCCATTATAAACTCAATCTGATAAGTGCTTACCCGCCAACAGAACAAAAGACGAGAGCAAGAAGATCTTCCAAGGTAGTTGGTAAAACAGATGTCAAGAGAGAAGCAGATAGACCGGCGGCTCCAAGTCCTCCAAAAGTTCCCAAAACCTGACAAAATCGTAACAACAATCATAAGGAAACATACATTTCATAGGCAATTTCAGTCAAAATTTTTGAAACAATAGGCTTGTATATGCAAAGCACCAAAAACTCTTAAGGTTAAAAGTCAAAACAAAAAAAGTGCCACCTAAAAAAATTTAATCTATGATATATATGAACTAAAACAACCTTTAATCAAGGCTGCTAAACGTAATGCACAAAGTTATAAGTTGGTGATACTAGCACTAGCGCTATATTACTTAAGTGGAGTGAAAAACACATAATATTCTTTAATGCTTTTGTTCCTGCTCTTCTCTCACGGATTGTTTTTTAATATTCTAACTAATCTTTTGACGAAAAAGATTACATGTCCAATAAATTGATTGAGCCCAGGCCGCAAAGAACGGGGGGAAAAGCTGAATAGGAAGCTAAAACAGCCAAATAAAAATCTAAAGCCCCTAAGAAGGGAGCAAACTTCATTAGGATGCAACTTCAAAAAATTAGTTCCAATAGTATAAGCAACATTAAATGGGATCAAGAGAAATGGAGAAAAAAGAAACTATTGCTAGTGAGTAAAGGACTGGAAGGAGTAACAACTCACAACTTCACGAATTTCCTGTTCAAAAAGTTTTGCAGCAGCGCTGGCACTGAAGTTCTCCATTACTCTTGTACTAAATTCCTCCCCTTTACCAAGAAGTCCATAGTTCTCTAGTTGTAGATTTTCCTCTTTGTTAACCAAAGAATGCCATCTTTCATTAAAGAGTTCTATGAAGACCTGCCCTTCATGAGCGTTGTTAGACAGCAACCATCTGGAATACTCTCCAAGCAATCTCTGAACAGATACAGAAATAATGACTTCTCAGTCCAAAACAAATGCATAAAACGATGAACTGTAAAATATGATGGTTTGTTACAAAAAAGAAAAAACAAACTGTGAAGTGTTAGATATAAGCTCTACCAAGATTTAATGAATTATTTACATGAGTGTGGATATAGGGAGACATAAATAAATGGATGCTTCCAATCAAGGATGATAGCACCAAGAAACTAGATATGGTAGTATGCAGAATAGATTGGTTAAATCACATCAAAGTGATCAAAATCACATCCCTTGCTCATGTCAAGGTTATATTCACCATGATGGGGAAAAAAGACATGCGGAGAGGTGCAATTTTTGCCTACTATCCCGCCCGCCCCCCTCCCACATTGCTCACACCTAAGTGTTGATCTGTTTTTCCCAAAATCAAAATGCATTTCCACTTCCTTCGTACATATGGTAAAGAAGTGTAATACCATGTCTACTTCCTTAAGAAGTTAAAAGTGACGAGGATGGAGTCTTATATGGTCTTAATTGCAAACATGCTCCTTGCATAATGTCAGGCCAGAATGGAAATTGCGTAACTAACAAAAAACAATATATTAACCCTGAATCAGGAGTACTGAGAAAATGACATTCACTATAAAAGAACACAGAATTTGAATTTTTGCCACAAACAGAATTTATGCTTTTTCATAATCTTCGTGATCAAGTGTTTTGTTATAAACCTCTCTTCACGACAATAATTTAGGCTTGCAAGATATAAATAGCTCAATAAGCCTTTTTCCAAAGCTTTACTCACAGCTTCATTATTATTATGTAGACAACAGAACCATAATAAACCTGTGTCGTGTTGATGTAAATCTACAAATTAGAAGTAAAGAATCTCACTATAAATTGAAACAAAGTTATACTAGCAAAAAATTTGAATGGTGACGAGAAAGAACTTACAAGCAAAAGCAATACAGATGAAAAGAAATTACCTGTGCATCAGTGATAGCAGGATTGATAATTTCATTTTGAACAGCTGAAGTGACAGGCAAGGGGGCAGATCCTTCTCTTTTGAAAGTATATGTAGCAATAATATCAACATTTGACAGTTGAAGGGTAGACTCTAGAAGTTTTATTGCTCGAGTTCTTGCTGTCTCAATCTGTAGAATGCAAGTGATGAGTAATTTAGCAATACAAATAAGCTATGATATTAAGCAGAGTATGGTATTGTAGAATATGAAAAGCATTGTATGAGTTATAGGTGGACTTCTAAGACCTGTTACAAAATAAGCATACCAGTGAGACAACACGTTTCCTCCAAGACCTACTCTCCTGCTCCATCTTCATAGTGCACACATCAACACTCTTAACCATTTCTTTAATAGATATCAAATCTTGACTGGCATTTTCATAATCTTGTTTCACAAGCCTTACACAAGAACTTAGCAATCGATCTGCAATGCCAATTGGTGTTTCAAGTTTAAGCCTCATTCTTTCCATACCATTTTCCGTTGAACCGTCCAAGAAACTGAACAGGAACTTTTCTAGTTCATAAAATCTACTAGTTGTCCACCGAGGATCGTTAGATAAAAGCTGATCATAGCTTCTTTTACTGTAATTTGAAGCAGAAATTTTTGCTTCCAGTGCAGAACGTGCAGACACAGGATACAACCTTATGTCTTCTACACTTAGTAGGTTGCATGTATTCTCTTTAATGAATGCAGTGGCTTCCTCAAGCTGAAATCAAGAAAGGAATAAACCAAATGAAAATGGTATGCAAAAGATGTGTAACAGAATTGTATAGAATATTATGCAAAGGAAAAGAAACAACATAATGACATTTATGCATTGAACCTCACTGGTATTTCGATAGATATCCAGTTTGTTTAAAATAAACACAACTCTTTTCTTCCATTGTTGTACATAGAGAAGAAATGCAACCTGAAAATGTAAAAAGGAACCAGGTGTTATGCACACAAAGTATTGATGGAAAGAGAATGGAGTAAATTTCACATGTTCTCAACCCATTGTTCTCTACCAAGATAAGAAAGATAATTAAAATGGGAGGGCAAATCAAGAAGAAAAAAAAATATGTATGGAAAATGATCCACACTGGACTAAAGAATTGAATGTGACTTAGGCAATAGAAACTTCGCTTGCAAAATGATGTTTTATTTCATTCAGAAACATTATGTTTCATTTCATCAATATGAAATTAAATGCATAAATCAAGTTAACTGAAACAAGTAAATATTATATGACACAAGATTCAGCTTTATTATTCTTGATGAAAAGAAATAAAAGTGAGGTGCTCAAAACAGGGACATCTATTTAAAGACTACAAGAGGTCAACAAATGTACAAAATTCAAGCATGCTGAGAGGAATATATGCAATAGCTCAAGCGAAAAAGAGATATGTTTGTTAGGACCATATGACAGGACCGGACAGCCGGTTGCAGTCCACTTGCAAATGGGGGTGAACAGTAGTTAAT